CTCCAAACAGATTACAATATTGCCCACGGGCAATAATAACCATCTTTGCATTAATATGCGATTAAAAACAAAGTTGCACATCAGCCCAACAATGGGATACACAAAAACAGCACACACACCCCCTACTGAGGGACACAAGCACTCCCCAATGGACACCCAACCCACGAGGAATCACAAGGAACCCATGTACTCAAAACACAACAAAGACAACAGGGCACGAGCAAGAACCACATGCTACAAGTCTACAACACAGGATAACACTATAATAAAATCTACAAGTTAACGCTCCTCAATTGTAACAAGAAAAACAAAAACAATAATAAATAACAAAACAAAGTGCCTAAAAGAAACATCAGCAAACAACTCCACTGCCACTGACATCCGACCACTGCTACCAACCTAAAATCATCTCTCGACTCCCATAGTTCCACCCATCCCGCGAGAAGAAGCTCTCCAGATGCCTCCAGAACTAAAAGGAGAGCTATGGTGAAGAAAAGAGGAGGAGGTGGAGAGGGGAGTTCTTTTATTTATTCTTGTTCTTCCTTCTGATGCATTTTTATAGAAAGAAATTACAAAAATTTATATCCTACACCTCTGGAATATTACAACTTACACATAAGCTGAAATACATTCTCGTCTTAACAGAATGCACAAGTAAAGCTGTAGGGATAACTAGAATGATGTCTTCTTATTACAGCAACTAAAATTACGTGAAAAGAGTAGGACACAGAACTACAACAGAGATTTTTGTATTTTCAAAATATCATTGAAGAATCACACTTTCTGGTGAAATCATCAAATCTCAAAGGTAATTTTTACAAAATAACAGAAGTTTTTTCATTAAAAGATATGCCATTGACCCAGAGAAATTCATTTGTGCAGTCAGTCTGTTGTCCATGCAAAAATACACAATCACTACAGTTGCAAATGTAACTTGGTGACTTGACAACCTCCTGTACCAATGGTATTGAGCTTTTGAAAAAAAAAAAGGAAAAAAAAAGTTGTTATATTGTTATAGTGCGAGATGATATGGTAATTAACTGAAAAGGGCACGCAGTTACTTTATGATAGTAACTTCTAGTAGCTCTAACAATGACATCTTTTCCTAAACCGCAAAATTTCAAAGAAGAAACTGCTAAATTGTTCTTCTCAGAAATGTATTCAGAGAAATAATCAAACTTCATCTTGAAACTACATCAGCTAAGAACAACCAAATACCAAGAAGAAGAAAAAAAATGATAAACTGCTAAAAGAAATGCAAGCTGAAAAGAACTTAGTCTCATAAATCACCTTTTGCTTCTTCTTGAACTCCTCCCATGTGACTGTATGAGAAGTTTTGAGGCTTGCCAAGCGAGCAGCATGCCATTCTGGTGAATGAAATGAACCATCCACCTGCCACTGTCCTCATCAGAAGAAGCACAGGCCAAACATACAGGTGCATAAAAAACAAGGAGGTATGGTAACAGCTCCAGGAGTAGGAAGCTACAAATGAGTCCAGTATTTTTTCAGTTTACAGTTGGTTTAGATTGTCTATAGAGCATCGGTCGAAAATTTTCTTAAGCCCAAGATTTGAAACCTCAGTGTACGGCATCCTGTTAATACCAAGTAAGTGCAATATACAAAGATACCGAATGAATACACTATTGTTCTAAGTGAATGTTCAAAATTGACCTTCAAATACATATGAATAACAGACCACGCATCTGATTTACAACAGTTGATTATAAGAATTACTCCCTCTAAAACATGATGAAATGATTGGTTGGCATACAAACCTAAATAATTCAAAAAGATCCTCTTAATGCTTAAACTAGAAAAATAAATAATAAGAATAACCAATAATGTGTGACTTCATAACAAAAAGAATGATTAGATTTCCCAGGAACTAATATCTTGGCCAGCTGTCTAGTCATTATAAAACATGCAAGATTCTTCGAATTTACCAACGCCTTCACAATTTCCTAAAATAACATTGGAAGTATTTTATTATTAAAATTCTCTCTATGCAGTATGACTTTCAACTCGATTTGCCAAAAACAAAAGATATACCTCCTAAAAACTAACAATGTGGATCTTCTTCTTTAATTAAACATGATCAAAGCTCATTCCCAAACTTAAAGTGCCGAAGTCCCACTACTATTTAACGAATATATCACACACTTGACAATCTCTTACTCAACAAGTTTCACTTTCAGAACAGTAGCCCCCAAATTATCTATACAGAGATGAAGCAATGATCACAAAAACAAGGATCGCATATTCTGTAAATGGCGCCATTGATCAGAGTGGGCCCGACTCCCTTTTCTGCTGAGGGTAGATTTAGATGAAAAGTGACTTTAACTGTAGTTTAGAACAAAGTCTAACCCACACGCATAACTACACGATAACTAAAGAAATGGGATATTTTTGCTCCAATCTACACCAAAACTGAATCACAAAGAGAGCTTCTCCTCACTTTATTTCTCCTTTTAATGCAAAATTCCATTGCTACTATTCATGAACGCATTTTCTTTTCTTAATTGCAACTTCACCCTTTATTGTTTTATAGAACTATAGTAGTTGTTATTATACATTAGTTTATCTATATAATTTATTTGAATGTAATAGCTATGCATCGTTTTACCCTTCTTTTGTTACAAAAATAAACTTTCACTATTTTAAGACAATTTGAGTAACTGCCAAAAGAAAATGAGATAAGAATTTTTGAGCACTCAGTACACACTGATATTATTTCATTCACTCATGACAACGGTGCATGTCACTATTTTAAAACAATTTCTAAGCCTCATTTGTTTTGTATCAGATTGGATATGAACACTTATCAAGTTGTAGTCACGTGTTTGTTTTCATTGATTGCGGCTTGCTTGCCTTCGGCCTGGGACAGAACGAGACAAAATCCTACCAATGGTTGGTAACTATTCCCGATCAATTTGGGATGATTATTTATATAAAGGGTGGATTTCTAACTTCATTTACAATAATATCCCTAGGCTTTCACTTTTTTTCTACATCAATGACCTAGCACACTCTGAACCTTCTCTTTCCTTATCACAATTTGCCACTCGCAGAAAATTTAGGGAAGCTCCACCATGGCTTGAGGCACTGCAAGTAGGCTACAAAAAGCAACAGCAGAAATACCAACTTTTGGTGGCCACCTTTTCGCATCTACAACTGGTTTAATGCCGCTTGCTCCAAAACCTTGGTGGCAAAAATGGATCTGAAAGCAACACCCTCCCACCTGAAAATGGATCTGATAGTGGCGCCTCAAGATAAATTGATCCATCTTCTTCTAATTGGAATGGTTTGATTGGAATTGAGGCTTATACGTGTTATTTGTGGGGTTCAGATGCAACAAGGGAATTAAGGGACCAAGAAATGCGGAGAAAAAAAGAGGGAGAAGCTAATGATTGAATAAAAATCAGTAAGTCTAAGTTCACATTCTGTCATTAAGTTGCATGGGTAGAAAGCTTTACAGTACAGGAAAGGGGAGAATCAAGATGTAGGGGATAAGGGAAAATTAGTCTAAACATATTTATATCAGTAGAGCTACCAAGGGTATCAAACACTGCTTAGAGCATAGTATTATCCTATTCGAACCACCAATTACGAATAACAAATACAAGTTCAATTTTGTCTATACAATGCAATCCAACCCACCTAATATTTATTTATTTCCATCCCAGCATTCCAAACATATGAGACCTTACTATGACGATCATTGATATATAAGCTAAAAATGTACACACAGAAAAATTTCTGTGACGGGCACCAAAGTTGAAAAAAAAGACATTAGTACTATCAAAGTAAAATTGAACGACAAAAAAAGAAATATATGAATATGGATAATAAATGGGGCCCAATTTATAAAGTTAGTAACATAAAAGTAGCATTAGCCTTGGTCAAGTGAAAGCTGAGAAAGTGTTGATACTCAATAGTAACGAGGTCTAATTTGTAAGGTTGGTAAATATATTGGCGATACTGAAAACGTATACAATTTGAAAGAAATTGATGTTGTGATAATAATCTTTTGAATTTGAGAATTGATATAATGGTTGGAGACGAACGATTGTTTGATGTGACAATTACTGCATTTTGGATTTGAGAATGAGTTTTTTAGTTGGAAATAAAACAATTTCATTCATAAATTCCAATTCTAGTAATAGAACTAAAATCAACATTAGATAAGCATTGTTGAGAAGGTATCATGCATACATCCCGAATTTATGAAAATGGGAGAATTTGCAGAGCCTGATTTTGCAGTTATGCACATATGTAGCAGCCTTCTAACAATTACCTTGCAGACTTTTAGTTTTACGAAAAGTGATAGCTAGAGCCTTCTTGAATAACAATAGATATCAAATTGGCCGAAATTTCAACCCAGAATAAGTATCACTATCCAGAGGACATTTATAGCCAAAACACAAATGGCTAAGTACCAATATGGAACAAAGCTTCCATTATCGTTCAATTATCACATAATGGGTGTGGATCTAATCATTGAAAATGTTCAGATTATAGGCCTATTCTTAGTGCCAATCTCCAGGGATACAAAACCACTGCACCAGTACCTAAGCGCAAGTTAGCAATCGTGAATTATATACTCCAAATATTAGTTCATTTCACTTAGACTCACAACAGCCCAGCATCCATTTAAGTCTACAGATAGAACACAGGACCTAATCGTTGATATCTGTGACAAGTAGGTCGATAGTTATACTAACCCAAACATAATAAACATCTAAATAACTTTAGATATTACATTAGACCTAATCTTTTACCATAAAAATCACTCCAAGGATAATCAAGTAAGTGCTAAGTTCAACCACGATGAGAAAACTATGGTGCAAAATTCGGAAACCAATTTCCGCCATGGCGATTAACTCATTGGCAACATCTACTACAACGCATCTAAAGTAAGATCTACACATCGTAATCCTAACTCTGTAAAGCAATGCCATAAACTTAAATCAAACACTTTTTAGGAATATACCTAATCGATAAAAATGCATAAAAGGGTGCGAATTACGAACCATGCCATCCTCAACCTCTTCCGGCGCGGCTGAGCTCGAGCCGAGCCGCGCTCTCTGCATCGCCTTGTAGGCTTGGTTTTTCCCCATTTAGACTTGATTAGGAGCTTCAAATTACAGAAATGGGGCGCCGAGCTTCAATGATTGCACTTCGGATTCCTGAAGAATCTTTATAAAATAAGTTAACGAAAGTTTTGAGAATGACAGATTATGGATATATATGAAATTGAACATTAATGGTTACGAGTGAGAGAGAGCAGGGGGAACGAGGTTTGGATATTGTTAATTAAATAAATGAATGGAAATGTTCGAAGTACATAAAGGTAGGTATCAATCAATTAGGGTTGCACAAAACCGAGCTTGAAACATGGAGTCGAATCATACAATTTGATGGGTCAATTTGCTATGAACCAGGTCCAAACAGGTCAATCTTCGAAATTTCGCTTTCCTCGAGCTCCCGAACTAATAAACCTTGAAGCAGTAAGTTTGACCAGTTCGACTCGCAGACGGGAGGCTTCAGCAACCTCGGTTTTCGTTTTCTCCAGCTCGGCCTTTTTTGCCGCAAACGTCTGTTTAAGCTCGGCAACCTTGGCCCTACCAGCATCAACTCGACCATTCAAAGAGAAAATGGTAGCATCACGAAAACCGAGCTCCATCTTCAGGTATTCTACTTCAGCAGCAGGTCCTCACCAGATAGCTCCCCGTTCAGTATAGGAGCTAGCCCAGACAAAGCATGTGGTGTGATGAAGAAAACACAAGTTAAGTCCTCAATAATTAAAAAACAGAAAGTAGAGGAGATATAGTCAAGATCGGTACTTGGACAGTGTGGTTTAGGAGGAAGCTAGCCCCGGAAGCCCTCTTGTCGAGACAGCGCTCGGTCTCCTCTTGGGGAAAGATCGACAATAAGTAGGCTACCTGCTCGGCCATGTTCTTCGAGGTTGCGAACATCGCAGGTTGTTCAAGCCCGGTGACCTCAATAAGGTCAACAGTCTCCTCTTTTCCAGATTGGGGCCTCTCCTCGAAGTGTCGGTTTGTCTAAGATCGACATCCCCATAAATGAATTGGACGGATGAAGGGAGGTTAGTTGCTTTGCAGCAGCAAACTCCGCGGTGGCCGCTGCAGTAATATCGACAGCACCAGTCTCGATAGCGACCTCGATCGTAGTTGTAAGCCGGTCGGATTGTCAGCTCATCGAGATCGAGCCCGACCGAGCAGCGCTAAGCAGAGCATCTCCAAAGAAATAAAAGAAGAAGACAAGAGAAATAATTAGCAAGGTCATCAAGGTACGAAAAAGCAAAAGCAAGTACGCATAAGTTTGACGAATGAGATCGTAAAGGAGTCTCATTCAAGGTAGTGATCAAGTCGAGAATACTGCGTGCTCAACCTCGATTTTTAATGTTGGCTGATGATATGGGATAACCATACCGAGTCAACTGGACCAAAAAAAAAAGTAGCTTGATTTCACAAGATGGACCGACAGGTCGACCGGAAAGTGGAGACTTCACTGGTCGAAGGATCCTCGGATCGAAGAGGACGTCACCGGTAGGTCGAATTAGGACCCTCGGATGGCCTGATGAAAGTTTGACCTGAAGATACATCTGGTTGAAGGATCGACCAGACAAGCATAACATGGAAGCTCGATATCAGTGATACTCCACCTCAAGGTAATCGGGGTCGGTCGCACGGTTAAACTATCTAATAAAGAAGACTAGAAGATAAGAAGAAATATTATAAGGATTAGACCCTCACGTGGATAGGGCCACGTAGCCTAACAGAATTGAGCAGTTTGGACAGTTCGAGTAGCTCGGGCAATACAAATGGACAGTTTGGGCAGCCCACTTAGGCAGGCTTGGACAACAAGGTATCATCTCCCTATATAAGGGAGTGAAGTATGCGCAACATTACATTACATTCTCCATTATTCTATACACTTATACTTCACTTCAACTTCAACAAATGCTAACTTAAGCATCGGAGGTTCTTCACTGGAATACCCTCCAGTGTGAGAGTTTTTGCAGGTCTCCAGGCGTTCAACCGGTGAGGAGCTCGAAGTCAGGTTGAATTCAGCCGATTAGAAGTCTTTTGCATACTATTTGGCATTGTCTGTGGGAACTTCGTTCGAAAAACCAACAAACACCGAAGCCATGGAGAATGAGATTCCTCAAAAGAATTTGGAGCTGACTTTTAATGACGTGTGGCCGAACACGCGCTCTTTCGAAACAGGTTCACCGTCGGGCTTCTCTGGGCCTTCTTAGACTCGATGACCCCGATTCCTCATACTGGGAGCTTATGGAGCCCATCGGCGGTCCCTGTTCATGTCGCGAGCTCGAGCCATGTCAAAGAGGCTTAAGTCGCTCAAGGGATGGTGGTTCCAGTGCAGACGTTCCCAAATCCAGCACAAATGCAGCCGGATAGGACGATGGCCCAGGTGATGGGGCTACCTAGGACCGAGGAGGAGCGAGCTAACCACCAGATGGTCACGATGTCGAGGCAAGAGCTGAAGCGGATGATAGAAAACGTTGTGACAGCAGGAGCCGTCCAGAAAGACACCCACCAAACTTCTCAGGCTACCACTGGACCGACTATAGTGGAGGGGACGAACTAGCAAGAGACTAATAAGGACGAGTCAAGTAACCGAGGCACCGAGGCTTATAGAGATCGAGTTGTTGAGAGGATGGCGGAGCAGATCTGCCAATTACAGGAGAAAGTAGATGAGAAATCTACTTGTCAAGCTCGAGGACACCGCTTCTCTAAGAAAATCCTCGACGCGGTGTTACCACAAAATTTTGTAGAGGTAAACTTGACGTACGACCAGTCGACAGATCCGTCACTACACGTGAGGTCGTTTGAGAATATGGTGGTCTTACATGGCTATTCTAATACAGTTTGTTGTGGAGCTTTCTTTTCTACTTTGTGCGGGGGAGCTCAAGATTGGTTTCAACGGCTCCCTCCAGGGTCGGTAAGGGATTTCTAGGATTTCTCGAGCTTGTTCTTAAATTAGTATGATAGTGCAATTGTGTAGGAAAAAGACGTATCTTACACTAATGGCAATAAGGCAAGATAAGGAAGAGTCATTGAGGAAGTATGTGGAGAGGTATAATCAAATATGCGTGGAGATTCCATAAGCCTCAGATGAGGTCAAAGCGGGAGGTCTGATCCGGAGCCTTCGAGGTGGTCTTTGTTGAAGCTCTCCAGCAAGTCCCCAGCTCGAACGTATGATAAGGTTTTGAAGAGGTGTAAAAAGTAGGTTGATTTGAAGAAGACGAATGAGGACATGTTGATTTGAAGAAGAGGGCCCATACGCCCAAGAGAGCTAGGTAGGACAGGTCGGAGTAGTGACGAGAGGACATGTGGCAGGATAGGCCTTTGAAAATGGCCAAAGATAAGGGAAATATACACCACTAAAGACCTAGATGGCGAAAGTGCTTCAAGCGATCGAGCAGAGGATTGATGGTCGAGTAGTGACATGGTAGAAGTCAAAGAAGGGATGGGTCGACTCAACCTAAGTCAAACCATTATTGCAGGTTCCAAAGGGACTATGGCCACACAACGTTTAGTCGCAAACACTTGAAGGATGTGTTGGGTTCTATTAAGAATGACAATAACATGCATGTTTGAATTTGGCAAAATAAACCCTAACGCAGTAGAATCTATAGTTAGGGTTAGAACATTACCGTTTAAATTTTTTGCCGACTCAGAGACGCTTCAGATTTCCTTTGATGGAGATCGTCTGACTATCAGAATCCAATGGGTTGACGGATCTGGCCTTTCTCGATTCTGATCGAGTCATTGAAATACGAACGGATCACCGGATCGAGCTCGTCAGACTCGGGCCGGTCGAATCGGGCTCGGTTCACTGGGTAGACTCGGTCGGACCCGGGTTGACTCGGTCAGGCTCGGCTGGATCATGTCTCGGTCGGGTGGTGCAGCGGCTGGGCTCGGACGGGCGCTGGTCGGCATCGCGTCAAGGCAGTAAGGCGCGATGATCAAGGACGTTGGCATGCGCGAGCAGGGACAGCGTCGTGCACGCGAGACGTCGTTGGGACTGGTACCGGCGTCGGGCGACACGTGGCTAGTTAGCGGGGCTGCGTGGCTGCGTGTGGTGGGCGCAGGTAGCTTTCGGTGGCGGCGATTTCCGGCGGCTTTCCGGCGGTGGTGGACGGTGGTGAACTGGCCGGAAAAATAGAGATCTAAAGGCTTGATCTATCTAACCTTAAGATCTTCTAATGTATGATCTAAACACCTACTCCGAAAAATCTTGGTGGACAATTTTCTGGATCTCTCGAACTCTCAATCTATAGAACACTCAAAACTCCTTCTTCCCTTAGGAATCCTTGTCTTTGGCGTGTGGAATAGAGTAGGGGGAGAGTTCAAGACATGGTATATTTATAGACTACATTATGGACCTTAAGGAGATGCTAAATATGGGCCTATCCTACTACACTAAGGAAACCTAATTTCATTCAATATACTTTTCCAATCTAGGATAGAATTCCTCCTAACCCTAATTATCTTCTAGAAGACTCGTTAGTCTCTAACCCTAGGTAATATTCTAGAAGGAATGTTCCTCTCCTAATGGAATATTAATTATGGAATAAAATTAATTCCTTAATCTAATAGAATTAATAATAAAACATTTCCATTAGAATAATATTATTGCTCTCCCCATTTAGCTCCCATTTATTCAATAAATCAAACCTCCAAATGATTAATTAATGGCCCCGTTTGGTAGATAGCGGATTGAAGATAAATTAGCGGATTTGACTTAATTGAGAGGTTTGACCCGTCAATTCCGCTATTGAGCTTGTTTGGTAAATAGCTTATTTGATAAGCTTTTTGGGCCCAAAACTCTAGTTTAGAAAAAGCTCATTAGAGCAGCTTTTTGGGATAGAGGATTCACAATAGAGAGGTTTTACTTGGAACATTTTAATTTTTCTTATTTATTTTACAATCTACATTGGTTTATGGAGCTAATAAATAATAATATGTCATCTATATGATTAATTTATCTAGAAAAATGTAACATTCATAACTTCTTCATCAAGTGTTAGTAAATTTAAATATATATATATATTTATAAATTACCAACT